CTTTGAGATGATGTTAAATCTTCTAAAACTGTTTTTCAAACTTTTTGACATGTGTTAATTTTTTATTTATCAGAAAAGCGCCACCTTCTCACGCTTTCTTTGAATAGACCCTTATTGGAATATATACCTTTTATTTTAACTGGTCCAGATTTTTAATTAAATTTTTAGATTTTTATTACATTAGCCACTTCAAAAATTTTCTGTTAAAAATTAGATTTTAAATTTTTTATTCCAATTTTGAAATTAAAAATTAAGTTTTTTTATTTTCGATTTTGAGATTTAAAATTAAATGTTTAATTTTTATTTAAAATTTAGAGATTACAAATAAAATTTTCAATATTTTTATTCTTAAACTTCTTTTGAATATTCCCTATTTAGAGCAAGTTTTATTTTAACTAATTTAGATTTTTAATAAAATTTTTATTCTTACTTTCAACCAGGGTTGCGGATTTTTTTTATTCAAAGCGGTTAGGTTTAAAACTTCAATTTTATTTTAAGTCTAATTTGTTATTAAAAAAAAATTTTTTTTAATTAAATTTTCAATTTTTAATTCTGATTTTGGGATTAAAAAAAATTATAACAAATGCAAAAAAAAGTTTTCTAATTAAAAGCTGAAAAGAAAACGGGTAAAAACAGTTAAATATAAATAAGATAAAAGAAGCGAAACTATGTTGATATTTTATTAAAAATAAACTTTCGTTTTCAAAATATAACCAAAATGGTAGCACACGAAGTACGCAAACGCGAAAAAATTTAAATCCTACAGTTATTTAGTTTAATTTTTAATTATAAGCTTGGGTTTAAATTTTTTTCTTCAGTCCGGTAGTTGTAATAAAATTTTTTAAATAAAATTTTAATCCGATTTTTGAGATTAAACTTTTTTTCATTTTGGTGTTTGAGATAAAAGGTTTTTCTCATTTTTCAATCCTGTATTTGGGATTACAAATTTAAAAATTAATATTTTTAATGCATTATATACAACCCTGATTTCAGTTAATACTCTTAACTGTTGCACTTTAAAAATATATAACACTATGTACTATATACTTCACAGTTACAAACTCGTTCGTATTTGTGTTGTTGGCAGTAACCGTATGGTAGTTCAATCACTTGCTGTTTAGTATGTGTTAGTTTATTCGAATTTCAAAACCACAATAATGACGAAATCTAATTGTGGTCTTCAGTATTAAATTTTATGTGCAAATTTCGCAATAAATAAAATTTGAGAAATCTATAGTTACAAACATATGCATATATTATGTCCTACACTTATGTCTTCAAATATTTATTTAACCGCGATTTTTTTTAATTTACTAATATTTCATAGCTTCGCACTATGAGAGATCAAGGGTCACAATGAATTGGAAATTACTAACTATATTATTGTGATTTCTGTGAATGAAAATTTCCTTTGAAGTGTGAACCTGAGCAATAAAAAATAATAAAAAGAGCTGCGATAATACATATGTATGCATGTAGTAAAGTAGATATGTATGTATATAATTTGAAATATTATATATATTTATATATACATATGTTTATGCACCTAAGATAAAATAAAATATAAACATAACATACATAAATAAATAAAATAACATCATCTCATTGATAATAAATGCCTTCATACTACAATACTTATCTACAGCTCCCATATTACTACGCAGTTTTTATTTACTATATATGTACATACTTATATATAAATAGTAACATATAAAGTAATAATATTATTGAGCACAAAAACCAGACGTTGCTTAATCACTACTACGCAGTATAAAGTCTAGTACTATAATATCTAACGATCATAAAAATGATTTTGTATGAAAAATGTCGTTTATTTCCGTAACTGTCAACTCCGCGCTGTATTTTTGACTTCTATAATATATCAACAGATCCATGTATATACAAGTCTTATGTACGTATATCTCTAGATAACTACATAAGTTGTAATTCACACAATGATTCACAAAAAACTATTACTCAGTATGTGAACATCTGTCAAAAGGCATTATGACTACTCGAGCAAAAACAGATAGTGTTCCAAAGATGGAACCGTGAAAAGTTACATAAGTGATTTCATCAACAACAGCTGTGTTACAGTTTATAAATGTAGCTGACTCTTTCTATGATCAGATTTTGTTTGAAATATATAACGGTTTCAACATGTCTCTGAATTTCAATCATAAAATATATACGCTAATATGACGTCACAGATGTGATATAAATTCTTATCATAGCAATGCTTTGTTAGATAATATTTAGGTTTTTCATAAATATATTAAATATTTTGAAATTGTTACTCATTTTATATTGACTAACAGTGGCTGACTGGAATACACATAAGTGAGCAATATTCATGTTCTACTATATTTCCCTACCCACTATTTTGCTATATGGTAACCCTTACAACAATAGTAAGTAAACATATTGGAAAAATGTAGTGCTAACAAAATCAATTTATGATTTTTTTAAAGGACATAATACGCAGAATTGGGAGGACTATGCTATGCTTAATAAGCGTGCTCAATATGATCCTGCATCAGCTATCATCTCTAAGCGGACCAACCAAGTCAGCAATTATTTAAGTTATCGATTATCGGAATAGTTGTAGATAAATTGATAATAAAATTGAATATATACGTATGTATATATAGTGAGAGGACGTTGTTTTGGGTGAAAGATTGGCTTACGGAGAGTTCAATACATCCACTTGTTTTCGTATGAAACTCGATCATAGTATTTTAATCGGAAATAAGTAATTATTGGATAATTCCGGTTATGTTAAATTTGAAAATCAAATTTAATTTACAGAATTGATCGTAGACTACTTTAATAATAAATAATGATAACTACCTTAACGGAATTGCCAAAGAATTGCCTAAGGATAAGGATATCTTGATACCTAAGTATGTCTACTTTAGCTAATCGAATTCGTGGCCTCAATTAATGAATGTCAATGGATTTGCCTTTTGACTAAGCCAAAGTGAACCAGTCCATGAGTGTTGCAATCACTTCTGGCATAGTTTTCAATATCGAGCTTTCAGAAATGTCACATTAATTATAATCAATCGAAAAAACAGTGAATTTCTCAGTAAATGAAAAGTGTCCTTAATTTAAACAGTCGCGTTGATGAGAACTACATGATGTTGCAGTTGGTCGAACAATCAATCCAATATCTCACATGTCTGGATGCATGGTCCTTACTTAAAATACGGGAAGCCGTTCTCACGCTTGTCGGGTCTACATAACGTAATTTTTCCAAAAATACGAATGCCCTTTACAACAAATATGAACACTTTTACTTGGAAGAAACTTCGAAAAAATAATTATTTAAATATAGAAGTCACAAAGCTCAGGAAACACTTGGAGCAAATTCGAAAAATGTCGGATTGGTTGGGATCAATACATAAAACTTTAATGACACTCGAGATCAATATTACTTATTTAATGCGAGTCTATCTCTAGATTATAATCTTCAGAAGTTGATTGGTATTCCGAATGCTTTCGCTATCCCATTGCACAACCGTTTCTTCGATGTGTAGAACTGTGTTCGAAATAATAGCAGTGGCTTGTGAAAATTAATGGAATGATATTTTTACACTTCAGACATTCACTGCTATAAATTTCAAAAATATATCTCACAGATTGACCGATATTTTCGGCAAAATGTCAAACATACGCACCGGGGTCCACATATTCTGTGTGTGAAGGCTTGAGCAGTTAGTTAATTAACTTTGGCTGTACCGAAGCTATAATACCCTTCACAGATGCATTTCTTATAGCATAAAAGAGCATAAAAAGACCTTTATTTTGATTTTGATCAATCAGTTGGTATGCCGGCTATATGCTATGGTGGTCCGATCAGAACAATTTCTTCGGAAACTATAGCGTTTAATTGGATAATCAGGGGTGTTGTAGAATCTGATAGTTGTAGAAATCAAAATTGAAACCGATAAAAAAAATGCAGTAGGTGTCATGAATTCAGATATTATTGGTTTGGCGCTGGAAACATAACTTGTAGTGTAATTGTATTGTTGAGGGTGTCACGGAAACTAATTTTATCGGTTTTGTTATCAGAAACAAAGCAAGAGGATATTCGTAGACAGATTTGAAATGTACGTTAAAAAAATAATATGTATTATTGTTACGATTTAATTTATCGTTATTTCAATGGGGAAAACATAAGCATAAACCATAAAATGTTTTAATTATTGAGTTTATGGAAAAAATCTAGACTATTATGGAAAAAAAAGACTACAATAAAATAAAAGATAAAATAGCGGAACTCATGGAAAACTATAGTAGGCATTATTCAGTATTTCCAATTTATCAACCGCTTCCAAATGTATTCATTTGCAAGTTTTGCCACAATAGTAAACAGCTGATTCGAATACTGGTTTTGAAATTCAATTAGATTCTGTCACACCATTGAAAATTAGAATTGGTTTGCAATTCTGACAACTACGCAAATCTGTTTTGGATTCGACAACACCCCTGAAAAACTGATGCCAAATTTCTTGAAGATATCAGAGAATGTTAATGAATATTGAATGAAGAGAATGTTAATGAATATATGAATGTTAATGAATATTCATTCAATATTCATTAACATTCTCTAAAGATATCTCGTCAAATAAAAAAGTTTTCAAAAAAGGACTGGATTTTGATCATTGAATTCGACGGTTCCGACAAATGAAAAGCTTCTTTGAAAGAAAAGAACGTGTGCAAAATTTCAGAGCGACGGACATGGCTGAATCGACTCAGCTCATCATCTTGATTATTTTTATATAGATTTTAAAGGGTCTTCGAGGATTCCTTCTCAATGTTACAAACTTCTCTCAATCTCTACTGCTTACAATTCGTATTCTAAAAGTTTAAACTTTAGTTTAATCATTATGGAGGTTTTACCCACGATTATTATGAATTCACTTTAGTAATTACTTTTTCTTGATATTATTCTCTTTTCTAATTTCCCAACAACACAAGTAAAAACATTCGCTTTATAAGTTTTTCTTCTTATGTACTTCACTTCTTTATTATTTCAGCGTAATAATTGTAATGCATATTAATGTAATCATTATGTAATTATACTCGTATATATATATGAAGTTATACATAAATATGTAGTTAAAATACGTTGATGAATATTCTCTCAGAAAAATATGTAGTTGGAAAAAATATATTTCGAAAGAAATTGTGTGAAAGTTTATGCGTGTAAGTATGTATGTACTTAAGCAATATATTTATATTTATGTTGCATGTATGTATTATGTATCTTTAGCGCAGCTAAACTACAAATATTTGTATATAATTATCATATACAATAACTAATTGTTTAAATTAAAAGCTTAACGCCTAAAAGTAGACAGATATACAAATATATATATTATATATATATGCGTAGGTGTAGAAGATTAGGCGGTGCTATGCTTATGTAAGTTATGTGTGGAGTTTTGATTTTCGTGATTTTTTGCCAACAAAGCGGAGAGAGTTTCCATGGCCCTCCCACATACTTCGCCTCATATGTGGCACCTAATTCCGTCTAACATTAACACTTTCACACGTTAAATAATATTTATATAAATTTTTAAAGGAAAACTTCTTCAACGTTTGCTGCTGACTTTTGCATAAAAAATATTTTAAAAATTTAAATTTTATTAAAATATTTACGCGAATTCATTTGCTTCAAACTCTACTCAATTCAAGTATTATTTTTAAATTATATATTAATATTTATATTATTTTATTTTTTTATGGCTTAGTTCGCCTTTGGCGGCGTTGAATTTGACGACCTGTTCTGATTGGTACGCTTTGTCGCCGACGCGGTGTTGGGCGATGTAGACGATGCTGTTGCGGGCGTGATCGGCGTCGCCGGGACGGCCGGTACTGCCGTTGAGGTTGTTGGTGTAGTCTTGTTGCTGTTGTTTGCTATGGCAACGTTTGTGTTATTGCTGTTGGCACTAACGTCAGTAATTGACTGCTCGACATTTGTGCCCATCGATGAGTTGATGAAATTTATGTATTGATGTAATTTCAATGCGGCGATGAGTGAGCTCAGATAGTCATTTATGTTTCCTTTTTGCATTCGCTTGATTTGTCTGGATACGTTCTGATAGACACGACGCGAGATCTTGTGGGAGAGTCGGCCAACAGTCTGTACTGTGTGGAGTACGGGGTCCTCGGTGGCGGAAACTGGTACTGTAATGGGAAAAGAAAATATGGTGATATTTAAAATAAGTTGTAAAATATTTTAAATATATAAAATAAAGAAACTATGACAGTAACAATAAACATAAATGATTTTTTTAACCAACGCAATCATTTTCGAGTATCGTGATTAGAGCATAATTAAAGAAAAATTTTACTTATGAATTATTTGATAAACTATCAAGCTGCGTTTGCTACATTTTTATGTCATAAATAGATATTGAGGACGTAAATTGACATTTTAGCCATAGAAAAACAACTGATCTGTTGTACTGCAAGTTATACAAGATTATTACAATTCAAATACAAAATTTAATACTTAGTTTGGTCTGTTTTTGCAAAATAATATGACGCTTGGTAATATATTTTAGCAGAAGCCATTGAACAAGGTAGAAAATCGAATAACAGTATGTATATATAGGTTATTCGTATTTTTACTTCCTTTTTATTTTCCTCTATTGAACTTTCCTGTCTATTGAACTCTTTGGGAGGAACTTATGATAATTTATTCAAATTTCGTAGCTGAGAGTATGAATTAACACTCAGTTGTCATTGCTAATATGACGTCATTATACAATCGCTCGCAAAACCTGAACTGGCCTAGTTCTAAGTGGGTTTTGCATATAACTTAAATGAATATGAATTGATAAACTGAAATATATGCCATAATAAATTAATCAATAAATTAACTATTGACGCTCATAAAATTGTTGAAAGATTTATTTGTTAGCAATTGTTAATATTTGTTATAACAGTATTAAACAGATGGCTAAGTCGGTTATAAGTTTTCTTACCATAAAATTGTTAATTTCCCTATTGATTAAATTTATTATTTCAGGATTTCGACTAACATAGTCTACAAGCTCGCTAATTATGCGGAACGACATTGATAGGAATACAGTGGAGGCAGCTACTAAGAATCTTAGATCGAGTTCAACATCTTGTTGATCGACTATAAATAAAAGAGAGAGAGAGAGAGCATAAGGATGTGAGAGCTTTTCATACGGAAAATAACCAAATACAATTAAATTATGTATGAATGATTAGGTAAGGAGAGAGGGTTGCCACTTTTGACGGAGAATAGTAATGAAAGTAGAAGAGAAATTTAATGAATCCCATATTTTAATTTAATTATTTTAGTTTTATATATTTTGATGAAGTAATGGGTTTTAATATAAAAATCATAAGTGAAATCAATACAAAAAAAGACATACAAATACATTCTTGTTATATTTTAAAGTGTTTTAACAAATAAGTCGAGTCAATAAAGTATTAATTTGTAGTAGAGAATTTCTTCGCAATCTTTAAAGTTGATGGATTCTACACAAAAAAAACAACAATTCGTTTATTTGAACAAAAAAACGAAGTCTTGTATTAATAGTGAGATCAGTTGTTATGAATTTAAAGGGAAAGTAAACCTTTACAAATACTCTACTGATCGCAGGAAGCATTCTAGGTGTAGAGAGCAATCAGCTGTTCTGACTTAAGGTCAGCTGGCATGTGCTGTGATTTTATAACGGTGTTTTATATGTTATGCAAACAGACGACTCCCAAATGCTATTAATTGTTTTAATTTTAAAATGAACGACAGTTAGTAAATGGCATGCATGCGACGTTAAACAGTCAAGCATATACATACATATGTACTTGCATATGCATATATTAATACATATGTATGTTCTGTTTTTAGTTCTCTAAGTTGTTATTAAAATTTGCATGCCAAAATATGGGAGAAATAATTCAACTTACTGTCATTTTCAACGTGTTTGCCATTTTGCGCGACAGCAATTTGTTTATTATCTGAGAAGAGAAATTATTTAACGATATAAATTTATTGTCGTACAGTAAAGGCAGTCAGTACCCGCAGTCACCACATACAATTCTATTAAATGCGCTTAATTATTAGCATTGATTGATTTTAGCGATGCGTTGATGATTGTAATTTTGAATTTTTTTATTAGTTATAGGATGGTTTAACGGCTTTTGATAAATAATTGATTTTTATGAACTAAAAAGGAAAGAGAGAAGGCAATTGATTAAGTGCGTAAAGTTAACGGTGCAAGAAAATAAGGAGTACAAATAATTTGATCGGATGAAAATCGGAAGGATATGAAATAAATGATGTTGATGAAGTAGTTAAAAATAATTAATAAAAAAATGTAATAAAAAAAAATAAATTAATAAAAAGTTAACATTTTTGTTGAAAAAAAGAGTAAAGTTAATTAAAAAAATTAGCAAAAGTAAATACATTTCATAAAAAAGTTAAATTAATAAAAAGTTAATATTTTTTCTTTAAATAAAAAAATATTTATATAAACAAAATTTTAGTTTAACATAAAAGCTTTATGCGGACTTATTTTTTCTAACGTGTTGAACTTTATATAAAGTTTTCTCTTAGAAATTGGAGTAAAATCATCAAAGATATTTCTTTCTGAAGCTTGAACAAAATACTGTTGTCACGAAAAAAATTAATTTTGGAATAAATATATTAAATTGCCCGTAACTTAAAATAACATTAAGAATATTTAAAATTTATGAATCAAATTTTTGACTGTGTAGTTTAGTGCTCTCTCACTCTTATTTGCTGATTTATAGGGTTGTACTCAAATAAATTTATTGGAGATATTAACTTTAAAAGTATGAAGAAAATACAAAAAAAAATATTACTAAGTCTCTATTGCGATATTTAAGGCATACAATTTAAAACGAAATTATTTTATATTATTAAATAAAAAATGTTATATCAAAAGACATTAGATTTAAGTTAAGTTAATAATAAGATAAATAAAGGCAATAATCGAAGTGGAATATAGCAAGCACTAATTAATTCCTCTTGGCATTATGATATATTTATTTACAACAAAAAATTAAACAACGTGATAATAAAATGATGATAAGCTCTTTAGATAAATAAAATATAACTTTAAAAAATATTAGATTTGAGTTTAATCTTCAATAATATTAGTAAAAACAAAAAAAAGCATTAACTTCGTATGCACCGAAGTTATAATACCCCCCACAGGTGCATTTTTTATAGCATAAAAGGGTATATAAAGATCTGTATCATGATTTTGGTCGGTCAGTCTGTGTGACAGCTATATTCTATAGTGATAGTGTACTCTTGCCTTGAACAATAATTCGTTAAGATCACAAACAGATAACTATTCATCCTATATATCTAAATTCCTTAATAAAGCCTTAGTCTAAGATGTTCTAAGCTTTTCGATAACAAGATTTCAATATAGATATTTAATACTTTTTCCCTGTAATAATTCTGATACGCCTAAGTATATAATATAATACGTGTAATGTTAAAAAATTGAAAAACTATCCACTTTCATAAATATAAATAATGTTAGCTTAATGTGATGTCGAAAAATGAATATTAGTATTAAACACAAGCGCTATTTCTATTTACAACAACAATGCAAAATCTCGACACTCACCATTATCCTCCTCGACATCGCCTTCGCCTTTGGGGAAATAGTATTCGAGCAGACGCTCCGCCAAAGCGGTTGTGGTATCAACGCCCGAAACCGCTAGACTGCCATACTGCGTAGCCAACACCTCATTAGCCTTGGCCCATGCCAAATCCTTCAGAGACGCCGCCTTCTGTTGGCCAGCTGTTTTGAATTTCGTCACACGTTCAATATGTGGTTGCACGACTTCGACCACTTTGTTTTTAGCTTGATTGTAAATTTCCTGTGGTGTGTCTTTAATAATGGGTGCGGACACCTCCAGCTTGTCAATACCCTTGACGAGCGTCTGATCGACATACTGTATGGGACGATCCAGTTTCGAGACAATCGGTGCAGCTGTGACGACGGCGCGTGAGACGCAATCCTCGGCGGCATTGAGCGCCCAGTTAAAGACACGATTACGACCTACAAAGGAGAATGAGAAAGTGGTAGATTTGCATAAATATAGATTAGCTCTTAAATTACATTTTCTAGCTTTTCAATTGTATGTATGTTAGCGCTGAGGTTTGAAATTTAATATACATGTAATATATGCAAGATTTTTATGGCGATTTAAGCTGATAGTGATTGCGATTGGATTTGTTATACATAGTTATATAAATAAGTACATATAACATGTCACATGTTATATTCTTCACTGCTGAGTTTAATAAATTATCACCTTTATTGCTAATAAATCGCTCAAATCGTTTATGGCGCTACAATTTCATACAAACAGCACTCAAATTGAGAACGTTGGATTTCCCCATGCAAAGTACAAGTGCTGGTCTATGAAAACTGATCGTAGCCACAAAGATTTTATCAGTCATATTTGGAGTTTAGTTTTTTTTATAGAAATTCACGAAGAAAAAAGTAGAGAGAAAAAATATAAAAATTTTGTGCACTTGGCAGTAATTTTCTTCAATAAAATTTATTTACTATGTAAAAGTCAAGTGAGGTTATGTTCGGTTTAGGTATACAGTTGAGGAAATCAAGTAAAGTGAAGTATCGTAACATCTAAAAACTGACACAAAATGATTTTGACTTATTTGTATAAATTTTCTGTGTATAAAAAATTAAAAAAAAAAATGAGTCACCTCCCAGAGCTTTAATTGTAACATACATATCTATATATATATAAAAATGAAACCCGTTTTCCGTTGTCACGCAATAACTTGAGAACGGCTAGACCGCTTTGGCTATTTTTTTTTTGTAGTTTTCTAATACTCTGTAGAAGGTTTTTATGGAAAAAAATATTAAGAAAATGTCTCAGAAAGATTGAAAATATACATTTAATTTTGCATATTTTAGAAAACGCGCGTAACGAATATCATCGACATTCACAGCCATAGACTATATTGAAAGAACATCGTTTGTTCGGAAATGTGGTTACTTAATTAAATTCTATCGCCTTCTCAGTTATGGCGAGACCAGGGAAATATGGATTCATGTTTATATTGAGGATATTATAGATTCCAATTTAAATTAAATTCAAAGCTACGCTATGGCGGTACGAAGTTGCATATGTACATATATATACATTTATTTGTATAAAAGCTGCTCTATATTTTCTAATTTTAATTATTTAATGACTGGTAATCTATACACAAGTACCTTTGTACATAATTCACAGCACAAACAGCCCACTCTACCCAGAACTGTTTACGTATACTTGAATTGTTTTGGTTTTATTTCAATTACCATTTGTTGCAATTTTTGATCAGTTTTACTCAGCTAAATCAATTGCGGCCGGCTAAATGTAGTCTTACATACAGTAATACATGTATATACATCTGTACATAAGAGTATGTATATATAAATATGCACTCGATAACTCATCGCTACCTCAAAGCAAACTTTCTAGATTAAATTTATCGAGTGTAAAGTGCATTTTGTACAATAATTTTTACGACACTATTTGAATGTAATGAGCAATTTATAAGCGTAATGAGTCTAGAAAGTTCAAATCGAGTAGCATAACTACTGCGTTTTTAGTTAGAAGATAGGCATACGAACACACCCACATATATAAGTGAGATGAATTTAGTAAGCTATTTTGTAATGAGTGTTCTTTTGGACAAAATTATAATTTATAATAACAATTTATTATGAAAAATTATTGTTTTTACATAAGTAAATATAACGGTTTATGTATACATGCATATGTATGTACATAAGAATATATCAAATTTCAACAAAATAATTTATTCAAAAAATGAATTCGAATATTGAACTGTTGGCAACCATCTATACAAGGGCTTGATTTTGAAAAAATATGAATTTATACGACTTTACCAGATTTTGACTTGAATAACTTTGTTGTATAGAAACAATATTATCAATCCTTAACCTATATTTCGACTCATAAAAAAATTCATCATTTCGATTTTAGTGTAATTCAAGTAAGTAAAATTACTTTAATTACAAATTCGGACCTAATTTATGCATAACCTCAAAATATTACTGTGTAACTGGCCTTTATTTTGAAATGTGACATTAACAAGCCAATAAATACCGTACAAATAATAACAACTTTCCATTCAGCTTAACTACACTCTAAGCGGGCCCTAAACCGTGCTTCAAACTTCGACTATCAATCAAGCTCATTTCTATTGCGTCTCATAAGAGAAAAAATATATAAATTTTTTCAAAACGCATGAATCACATGGAAAGTGATAGACAGTTTTTAGTTTCGTTTCATAATCTAATCAGTTGACGTCAGTTAATAGTTAAAAATAACAAAGTAAATATAAGGAGAGAAGCTGAAAACTACAAAAGTCCACTGTGTGCTTTTTCATACTGCGTAAAAGCCGCAAAAAATTAAATAACAGAAAAAAATATTAATGAACACTAAACAAAAAGCAATGTTTGCGAATATAATAAACCCGAACACTGAGAAAAATCATGTTAAAAAATTTGGGGAACGAAAAAAATCGAAAGAGAAAAGTGGCATAAACTGCCATAATAATGTGTTTATATATAGAATAATGTCTGCATATTGGTGAGTTTCGGCGTTTATGTGTATCTGTAATTGCGTTAGATTGAGTCGATTTTTGAGAGAAAAAAAATTGTAGACAAAATTGTTAGGTGCTGAAATAACTTTTTGCTGATTATTAAAAATCAATATATTTGAACAAAAATATAGTTAAATTTGTTTTATCGACACAGCAATAGTTTAAAAATTAAGTTTATAAACAAAAGTCAAGAAAATAAATTCTGAATTTCATTAACTAAATAAAAAATTATACTTTTCATTAAATCCTATATTGATTTTACTATTATGAGCCAAAATATTTAAGAAAAGTTGGTTAAAATACATAATTAGTTGATTGGAATGTATTTTATAATCAGCGACAAATGTTTAGAAAAAGCAGCTATAAATAAACTTAAAATAATTTTTTTTGACAATTAGTAAAGTTTTCTAAGTTTTTGAATAAAACTAAATATAAATTTTCATAATTTATTTATATTTATAAATATGAAATACTAGTATAAGAAACTATTCAGTATTCAATATAGTGAAAATAATATTTACGAATTAAGTCGAAAACGTTATTGCCGGTATAAGAATCAAAGAGATTAAGGTTCAATTTTGAAGATGATTTGTACAAAATTTGTCAATGGAAAATATAATAAATTTATAATCAATTTTCATTCCATTTGGATTTTACTCAAAATTATTATAATAAATTTCTTCTTAAATCTTGAGCATATGCTTATGTTTAGAAATATATATTTGTTTATTTATAAACTGTTTTGTTTTTTTACTAATTCCGATATAGACTATCCTATCTTTTAAGTTGGATCAAACAGGACAGATTGTGCTAAATTTTATTAAAATATGTTCAGTAGCTTAGGAGTTTATCGAGGACAAAACGTGGCACGTAATTTACATATATCTTCATATAAAAGATATAAGCATTTGTTTGCATTGATAAAATATTTTTTCTTGTTAGAATAAAAATTAAATTGTTTCGAATATTTTATTCATCTTAATTGTCCCAATATAATCTCCCGATGGATAATGGGCCACAAAACCAAGCTCTGAGATTGATTTGTGTACAATTATTATGATTAATTTTTAAGTGATAAGTGATTTCAATTTTTTTTAACTTCCCGAAAAGTTAGTGTTATGCAAAATTTTCTTTAATATAAACATAAAAGCAGCTCATAAATAGTTACAAATATTTAAAACTCAGCTCTTAAAGAAATTATGTATAAAATTAATTAAGAGAAAGGTATGGTATAACAACTGTCAAGGTTATCCAGCTCTAATATACGTATGAATGAATATATTATATGTTTATGTGCATAAACTGAATACAAATAATTTACGACCCACCTTAATGTGTACATTAATATACATTCCGGCAAAGTTATGTTTTTGTGCGGAATATATTTAATGGCAAACCAGTCGCGCAAAAACAGTCCAAAGTTCAGTTCGCATGTGGCAAAATTAGCATAATGAAATATGTTCATATGTATGACTTAGGTGTATAACCACATGCACAAGGGAAATTAATTTAAAAACATGCACATTTGACTGTATATACATATGCACATACATATAAATAAGTAAATATATGTATATATGTATATATACAGTGCAGTATTTTAAAAGACGCGTTTATTGGCGCAAGCTAAAAGGTAAATATTCGCATTTTAAATAAATGCTTCTGTACATACGTACATATGTATGTATGCAGAGAATACAACAATATATTTGTAGTAAAATATTTACAATTTGTTGGCATGTACTTAGTTATTTGTAAGTGCATTTTGACTTTCGGACTTTGCTCGGTACAACTTTGATATCATTAGATACACGCCTAAATGTTTATAACAAATTTATATTACTAAGCAAATAATAAACAACAAGCCCATAATGGAGCTGAACGCTTGACTTGACTGGAAAACGTGACTAATTTTTTGAAATTTATATTAATTGTTTATATAAAAATTAATACATGTGAGCATATACATATATAGTGCGTACATTGTTCTTATAAATTTATTAGAATTTTTTTGCAATAATTTCCTTATAAGACATATTGAAATCAAATAACTTTAATGATTGAAAAAAAAAAATTTTAATACACAAATATTTTTTTAGTACAAATAAAATGTTTTATATTACATCTACATATATATAATATATGAGTAGTAAAAATATTCTTCCTTATATATATATAAACTTATATATAGAACAACTAGCAACAAGTAAAAAAATAAATTTATATACATAAATTTCTGCGCAAATTTTAATTAAATTTCAATAATTTTAATCAGCACACCGATTCTCTACCTAAACTTGCACACATACTTCTACATCCTTGTAGAACATGTGTACACAGTTGTTGTTTACTTGGAGCCAAGTGAATTTGTTCGTTTAAAGTGCAATTGACTTCAATTGAGTTCAATTTAGCAGCGATTACTGTTTGTTGTTGTTTTTTTAGTGGCTTTTATCAAGCAATTAAAGCGTTCAAGACGTGTTGGAAATCTCCAGAAGAAGTATGTGGGGGGAAAACATGAGTATACTATACATATGTAGTATATAAAAAGTACTGTGGTTATATAATATATGTATGACAAAATATTCGCTACAGAAATACATAGGTACTATTATTAATACTAAAATAATAATAATAAAATTAATACAAAATAATTGAAAAAAATAGCAAATAAAAAGGAAGCAAATATAAGATATAATGGATGCTATAAAGTATATACGAATATATATTTAAAATTTAATAACAAAAAAATTAAATAAAATTATATATAACCAAAAGTTAGTCTAAAAAAAAAAAGAATGTGGAGTTTAAAAAATAACAAATAATAATAAATATAATTAAATAAAGGGCAATAAGAAAATAATTGAATTCAAATAACAAAAGTAAATAAAAATTAAAATAAATAAATAAAAACTTAGAATAATATAATATAACTAAATTTTAATTAAAATAAGAAAAAACGTTAACTATAGCACCGAAGCTAAATTAGTCTCACCAATAAAAAAGTTTGCAAAACTTTGATCGGTTTGTGAAGCGGTCTAAAAAATTTCATTAGAGTGATTAGTGATCCGATCTAAAAAAACACATGCTAAGCTAAGCGTTGAATTATGCAATATTGCAACTTTCTTGAAGATATTTTGTGAAAAAAAAAATGTTTTCCACACAAAGACTTGATTTTAATTGTTCAGTTCAACTTGTATGGCAGCTATATACTATAATGGTCCGATAACTGCGGTTCTGACAAGTCAGCAGCTTATTGGCTAGAAAAGAACGCTTGCAAAATGTCAAAGCGATAACTCAAAAACTGAGGGACTAGTGCGCGCTTATACAAGCAGACAGATCCGCCCTGTTCAACGTATAATTAGTTTTAGAGTAAAATAATGAATTTGTGCATTGTTACTTTTTATGTTGGGATTTTAATTTTGGGGATGTTTTTTGTGGGGACTTTGTGTTTGAAGATTGAATTTTTGGGCGTTTCGAGTCTCTCCCGCTTTAATTTTCATACAATTATTAATTACGCAAATAAGTCACCTAGAGTCTCACAATCAAGTAAAAGTCAGGAATATATAAATAAATATTCTAAATTGACTATACATATATCATTATTTCAAAAATTAATAAAATATTTTCAAAAATGTTTAACTACTTTATGTACAATGCACAAACATATGTATGTATATAATTTTTTGTTAATATTTATTCACGCGAATTTCAGCGATATCGGCGTTAAATTACTATTAAAGAGGTTATTTGTAATATCGTATACACATTTATGTACAAATAAAGTTTTATACTTTCATTGGTAAGTTTTATAACAAAAAAAATATAAATAACAAAATGGTCATTGCAATTCCTAACTAAAACTCATTTATGAACTTGAAACATTTCGAAATATAGCGAAATTGTGTGTAGTATTAAGTTATAAAAATGTATTTCTTTTATTCGAATTTTTCCAGCCATTATTCAAGGTTAAACTTTATTTCCAATAAAACGAAAAATGATACCAAAATTTGAAGCTTTTTGTAAACAAAATCAAACGAAAACATTTATCTATGAAAAATATTTAGTAATAAAATAATTATTATTAAAATTTTTTATTATTATAAGCGTCATATGATCGCGCATTAACACACTATAACGCATTTGTAATTCTGCACCAAATATCTGAACTATTTACTCAATTCAATTTACTGCAGGGTAAATACATATATACATACAAATGTGAGCACATAGTAATATATGTAGTATTATTCTCTACCTAAAATATATCTTTTTAGACTTGCACGTAGCCGACTTGAGCGCACTACTCTCGCACTTTCTTGTTATTTTGTAGTTCTCGTCAAAGCGAGTGGCCTATGAAGGTAACGAGACGACGACGTGGTCACGAAAGCAACCAAGCAAGAGGGTGCCGGCTGTCGGCAGCGCTCACATGAGTTAGCTGCTTATATATTATATTTATCATATGTATGTGAGAAATTGTGAAAAATTCGCAGCACAAATATGATGGAGTCAGAAGGTAAAAGTGACTGGTAATTCTATATACTTGTTATGTACATATACATACATATATATTAAGAATTATTAAAAAAGAAATTGTTGTAGTAAAATTGTAGAGGAAAGTTCAAGAGCCTCCCACATTTTACCGCAAATGGTATGCGCTGTGTTTGCATTACCGTTACGCAAAACCAAATTTCGAGAAAAATATAACTGCACGCACTTCCAGGCAATATACCGTATACTCAACTGCTTAACATACCTTTGACATTTTGGTAGACATCCTGACTCTTGTCCCAGGCCGCGCCCACAACCGGCAACTTTATAATACGCTCCAGCGATTCTAAATGCGGCAAAAGATTCTGCACATCTTTGGCCTGTTCGATGGCAACTGTGCCGTTCGCCGGAGCCACAATAGATTTGATTTCGTTCGCACTTGCAGCCATTTTAAAATTTTTTAAATTTTATTTTAAAAACTTTTTGCTTTAAACACTTTGAAATATTTCACACTTGAACCAGGAAGCTTTTCAAATTATTATTATTTTTTTTAGGTTTTATGCACTTGCTTTTGAAATTGCACAGTCTTTTACTTGGAAAATATGTACTTGAATATATAAAATCAGCTCGCTTGATTCGCTACTAAACTCTCACGTACGAATGTGACACGCTTCTGACTGGTCCGTAGCTCCGCACTTGGGTATTATATGAGCAAAAGCGGCAGCCCAGGCGAGCACACGAGCACATGCAGCCCCGAAATGAGTGTGCGCCCCATAGATTTTTGCTCAGAGCTGCATTTGCGCCTGTTGCTAACACGATCGTACCCAAATACGCTGTTAGGTTATCGCTCACATTTTGGCGCTCTCCGCATAGCTGCTCCCCATCTGGCTATCGCAGTTTCTCTTACTGCAGGCTTTTGGGCGAACAAGTCGGTTGAGTCAACTGCTACTCCCTCGCTTAGTTTTTCGACGTGGCTGCGTGTGTGCGTGGTAGGTTCTATGTCACCTCATATGACAAATTTGGAGTATTGGACTCTGAGTTCGCAGTATAATGTGTCGCGTAGTAAGGGGTATTTTCTTAAGAGCAAGACCTTAGTTGAAGTAATTTATGTGTGCTTATTTATTTGTTTGCTCTTAAAGAATGCGCTCATCGGCTATAAACTGGTATTTTCATTTTAATTCCGGTATGCAGGGGTCCGCACATATCTTATAGATGTGACTATAAAAAAAGATGGAAAAGTTGCACAAATCATTCATACGTACATATTATATATAGATTATAAAATGCAACTCTAATCGCCATATACACACGTATTCTGAAAAATTGGTTGATAGACACCTCTTAGAAAGGCTCTCCAACTATGAGTTCTAAATTGTAACGTGAAGGTCCTCCGCCCAATGGTTTTCTATTTTTTCTTATTTACAGAACAGAAAATTTCCTATAAGACTATGAGCAATAAGATATTAGTAATTTAAAATGAGCTTTTTTCATTGAGTTACGAAGTTCAAAAGAAAAAAAAAATTTGCCCCAAAATAGTCAAACGATTAAGTTTATGAAAAAACCGTAGGAAACCATTTTATAGAGCATTAAATTTCTGGCAAAATCTATAAAAGGAGATATGTTTTTAAGTAGTTTTAAACGAGTTATGAATTCTTCTGTTTGATAATAAGAAAAAAATATAGAACCCATAGACCCACCCTAATATATATAACTCAAAATTGTTAGCTTTGAAATTGCTGCTAAAAATAAACTTGTGTGATTAACTTTATAAGCATATTTACAATTATCAGCTAATTTGCATCACCTTATTTTTATTTTCAAATATGTAGCAAATTCCACTATCTTTGTTTTTGTTTTTCGTCGAAAAAACTTTGAACTTTGGACAAAAGTGGTGACGAAATTCTAAATTTGAAACGTTTAGAACAAGCCAGTGACGCACAGTGTCATAAATTCATTAGACTGGCGACAGATTTCGAAGGGACCACGTAGTGCTATTCGTCAAGCATTTGTGTAACTCCTCAAGATTGCTTTGGCATATGTAAAACAGTTTTCTGAAAAACATAACAGATATATATTCGAAAGAACAGGCAGTTTAACCAAACATAGGTTAGCATAGGTTAAAGGGTAGATCCTAATGGGAATCTCACTTGGACAGCTTATAACGCCGGACCGTTTTGGTACCTAGTACTCCTATAAAATTGATCATAAAAACCATCATAATTTGCCAAATTTCGGCTATGTCGATTTTTAGCCCAACAGTATGAATGCTTATTGGACAATGTCCAGTAAGAACTCTTATGATTGCGGCGAGATTAAATTAGCTAAGGGCAAGCAGTTCAGTAGGTCTTCAAGGTTCTACTTTAAGACAGAAGGACCTCGCAGATGCACAGGGGCTGGTCGTGGACCAAAGCCTGTTAAGCACACGCAAGATTCTGGATATATTAAGTTTGCCACGAAGTTTGTAGTACCCAGAAAGTATTGTCGCTCTATATGGCGCTGAAGTATGGTGGTAAGCACTCGAAATAAAATCTTACCGATGTGGTCAATTTATCCTGTTTATGCACTCATTGATGCTCGGCTTTTTTTACAATATCAGAAGATGCATTTTAATCGTTTTAGAAAACACCACACACAGAACCCTAAAAAAATGCTCGAGCAGTTGGCAAAGACCCCAACATTGAGTCAAGACCACATGGCATTACTTTACCCAAATTTTCTCAGGACATGGCTGTATTAAAGCATATTTGAAACGACTAAATCACGAGAGTGATGACATATGCGACATTTGCGGAGGCTATACAATTGAAAATGTAAAGCATACGTCGTTCCACTGTCCGCAATACGAGCAAGAACGGCAATACTTAAAGACTACATATGGTATAGAAACAACCCCTAAAAACTTACTAGACGAAATAATTGATTCCAATGATAAGTGGAATGTGGTGTGTAAAACAGCCGCCAAAATCAGGAAAACCTAAACAGCCCGAGAACAGCAACAGAGAAGAGAAATCTAAAAATAAATGAATCACTAGGACAAGTAGCAAACAAACGCATACCGAAATGAGTAGACATTGCACGGGTGGGTTTACAGACAAACAGAGATAGTGTGATAGTGGTGCAACTTGTCACAGAATGCAGAATCTTGACGTAATGCTTGAAAGTGGTACCGGGGATATTAGTACATGACTGTAGCAGGTTTAGTTCGGCTTAAAACTTCACGCTGACATGAAGTATAGGCTTTCGGTACATCCTCCTCGAAAAAAAGCAGGAGGACAGATGGAGACCCTACAAAGTATATATATAAATGATAACTTATCGGAACCGATATAGCTGCAATACAAATTGATCAATCAATATCAAGTCCTTGTAAGGAAATCTTGTTTATTTGATAAATTATCAGCACGAACTTTGGCATAAAATATTGGTAAAGCTACACCCTACAAATAATTTGGTCAGATCGGGTCACTATATCTCAGCCATACAAACTGACCGATCAAATTTATACTATTAAAACGTTTTCATATAGCCATTCCAGGGTGCCTTTCCTTGCCAGCTCGTCAACTTTCAGTTACCTGCCATTCCACAGTGGCCTGACACCCTTACTAGTCTGATCGCAAAGTGACTAGATGCCATTGAGAACGAAGTTAAGCATTCTTTAATATCTTAATGTGGAAGCCTTAGTTTGAAAAACGCTACAGTAGTCAGGTCACAATCTGATAAAAGAGTTAAACTATTGTATAATTGTTGTTGTGTGTATTCCAACTAGGCTATGTGAAATTCAACAATTTCCTTTACAACACTGATATTTAATTAATTGAGACACTTATAACGAGCAATTAATTAAAATGTTTTTCAACATTACGGACAGGAATAGAATTGTGAACTGCAAGCCCTTTTTATTCGCCAGTTCTCTGCTCATTATGTTTCAATTCGACTTTTTCATTAAAATAATGGCCAGTGGTGCTAAAAAGTTATCCATTTCAAGTCAATGCTCAAGAGCATATGGTTAAAAGAATAAATTGATTATGCCAGTGATTCAAATACAATCTGATTGGCGGTTTCTCAAGGTTCTCATTTTTGCGATGGTCTCAGTTCTTTTGTCGCTTTCATATTCAAAGCTTTAGTATTCTATTAAAAGAGCTTTGCATATATTGTACATAAAACGAATATGTACACTCAAAGTAAGTTGTCGTTACACTGTGCGACAAACTTTATCAGCCTGATAACGAAAATTATTGGACCAAAAATGCGAGCAAACTAATAAAATAGTGTTTATATTTGATTTATGACAGAAAAAAAGATTAAAACTGTACATTTAGTTCAACTTGTGTGTGTGAAATGTGTTTTCAGACATGAATTGCCCTCATGACGGTAAATTTTAGTATCTACTTGTAGTACTTTGATCCTAGACGTATTGGAACATTTAAAACTTCTCTATCTTTCGACGGCGTGTGCCAGTGAAGTTTATAGTTCGCATTGAAACCCAGAACTATTTATAAAAATACATACATACCTATAACGACTCTTATGTACATAAGTACATACATAGGTATATGTTAAAGTACTTACATATGTTAGCTCGTTTTCACACAATTTCAGAGAAACTACATAACGGTTGTTTGTATTTATTAATATTTATTATAAATTCGTGATTTAATAGAGCATTCCTTATCAATATGTGACTTTATATTATTGTTCAAAAGGAATTTTTGCAATCACGTTTTAGTAACTTGCATAATCGTGCCTATTAAATATAATAGCATGTCTCATCTATGGGATAGGTCATCAGCTGTCGTTTAAAATAAACAAACTAATCATGATTTGGCTTAATTTAATTTATAGTATAACCTAGTACTCTCATAAATATTTTTAATATAATTATATAGTAATCTAAGTTCAAACCCCACCTGATAAATAAACACACTTTGAATGAGTTATACATATACTTAAGTTATGAAATCAAAAAGTTTTTGGCTCTTTGCAAAATTACAGAAATAGTTTTTTAATAATATGAGGCGAGACCATAACAAAATTATATTTAAGGTGTCAGCAATTTATCCGAGTTCCTTTCACCATTTGTGTCATACTTCTTTAAGTTATTCAAAAAAGTGACTACAACTTAGAGGCAATCATACATTCAATTCAGATGTAGCAAAATCTAAAATGGGTTGCCCTAACCTATAGCCAGATATACAAATATTTTTCATTCTTATCAGGCAGGCGGGAAAAGTCGTATTGTTTTGAATCGAAGTAAAACGTGCAATTTTAAAAGTTTCAATACTACTGTTGTAGTGTGTTGCCCTCAAAATAGGCGTAAGACTCGGCGTTTGTGTCTTCCTTGTCAACAAATTTCTTCCCAACAATCATTATTGTTAGGCCTGCGAACGTTAAAACTCGCTGTCTTCCAGATCCAGAGAACAATGTGACCCAATTCATATTGTGACATTGTTTAAATCGTTTTGAGACACGGGACACGTGGTTGGTAGTAAGAGGTAGTAATAGGCATTTTTCCGTATTTTAAATAATTTAGATTATAGATCACTTTCACATCTCTTTTATGATTTATATATGAAGTTATAAAATCCACTTTATATGTGAAAAATACATTTTCTATTCTATTTTCTTTTCTTTCTATTTTTATAACCTTCCAATCGATTTTTACATTCTCCGTTTGAGTTGAGTTAATGGTCTCGTTAAGAGATTTCTCAAAAGTTGTTATCCCCTGTCGAGGTTACTATGTTGTAAGTACTAAGTTTTGTTTTGATATATGTCTTAAGACTAGCTTTGTCCATTGAAAAGTCAAATGAACTCACTAAAACTCGAGACAGGCTTTAGGTGAGGTGTGCTACGATTTTGACTATTTGTTACCCAAGCTATGAAAGTCGATTTCGTCAGACTTTATCCATAGCTATTTAGTTAAAATGACAACAATGTTACATGCTGCAGTTTATATTGTTTGTAGATGAGATTTCCCGCAAAAGTAGTTCGAGGTACACCATAGTAAGAATATTTAACTCTTCTACAAAATTATAAAAAAAGGAAAGAGAGATAAAGTGTCTAATTTGATGATTCCCCGTTTTTATTTTATTTGTTTACACACATTTGAGTGGAATCTCTTTATCTTATGTTTTTGTTATTACATTTTGGATACAAATTTGCTCCAAAGCAGAGCATTACTATTCAAGCATCTGAACTGCTATCTTCGCAAATACTCCCTGGG